TACAGTATATATATATATATATATATATATATATATACATATATAAATTATGATTATATAATTAATTTAATATGTAATTTAATATTAAACTTAATGCAGTATTTACATTTTTTATATGTTATATTTTAATGTAATACTTCATTTAATACTAACATTTAATACTAATATTATATTATAATATATATATATATATATAAAACATTATTATCGTAAATATTTTAAGGTTTAATTTTATTTAACATGTATATTTTGCCAAATTTAGTTCAATATTTTGATGTGGTAATCATTTATTGATTCGTTTTTTTTATTTATTTATTATATTTTTTAAGATATTTATTCTTAACTACTTTCCAAAACACAGCTAACATCTTAAGCAAACATTTTTGAACAGGATGAGCATTTGCTTTGAGTTAAAAAAGAACAGCACAACATGTAGCAGATGAAAGCGATGGGATAGAAAATAAGGAAAGATCTAGGTTTCTCTGTGTATTTTCAGCTTCCCCTTTGAGACTATCTGAGTTTCAAGAGGTCCTGATAATTGCATTATTATAGAGGCAGAGAAAGTTTAAAAGCAGATGAAATTGCAGTCTGGTCTCCTCAGGTCGCCCTGCTGTTGAAAAGACAGCTGTACTTTAACGAAGTTATAGGGATAAGCAAATGCATAGACAGTAACACAGCACCTGCACTATGTACAGCTGCAAAGATTGCCTTCTGTATCTAATATTCACTTATCTGTCATAAACAACAATCTGCAGGATTTGTTTCTCAAATAAACCTGAGATATTATTCTACCTAGTAAAAATAAGTATAGCAGAAAAATAGAATCACCAACATCACAAGGCCAAAAAAAAATGTAATAAAGGCATCAATTTTTCTTCTCCACATCATCTGCTTCAGAAACCCAAGAAAGTTATGAGAAATATTATTTGAGTAGTTTACTAAAATATGTCTGTCAAAGGAGACTTGAATTGCAGCAGTTTGTTAAAATGGCACAATTGCTTGAAGAAGGTTGACTTTCCACTTTAGGAAACACGCTGGAAGTTAATGATGTCTTTCGGGAATGAACAATGTTCTTGACCAAACAGACACACAGATCTGAGCAGTAATTAAAGTGATGGGAGTCATTCTGGCGCCGTCATGATTGTTAATGGAGTTAACTTCAGCACTCAATGACTCTCTGTTTACTTCACTTGTTTACTGTCTAACTCTGCAATGATGAAAAACTGACTGATAAAACATCCATGAACTTGTTTTATTTCCCACAGGCCTACAAACTGCAGCAATGTAACAGGGAAAAACAATTAAAATTCATCTTTAAAGTGCTCAGCCGAATAATGTTCCACAAAATTGCTCCACTGGTTCTTACTTATAATGCCTGAGTATCCTACTGATAAAAATTGCTTTCTTATAAATTAGAAATAATTTCCCCCAGTAGATTTATTGACAGGAAAAACAAAATACAAAAATCATGGGTTGTTGTCACAAGACAAGAATTTATTTTAATATTTAATTTAATATTAAAACCTAATGTAATCTTTATAATGTGCATATTTTACTGTAATATTTTATTATTAATGTTATTTTATATTGCACACATAACATATTTTAATTTAATTTCATGTTAATTTAATATTAAAACTTATTTTAATATTTATATTGTGCATATTCTATATTTTGTATTTCCCTTATATTGTACATATTCTACCATTTAATTTATTATTTAATATTAAAACTTAATTTTATATTTTTACTGTGCATACTCTATATTTTAATTTAATTTCATGTTAATTTAATATTAAAACAATTTAATATTTGTATTGCACATATTTTACATTTGAATTTATTACTTAATTTACTAATATTTAATTTAATATTAAAATTGTATATAATATTTTTTTAATATTTTTAATGTGTTTGATCTTTTATTATATTTTTATACATTCTTTAAAATATTTTAATAATTTAATTGTTAATTAAATTAAATTTAATTGAATCAATATTTGACACCAAAGTGGATTGAATGCAATAAATAAATACAATAATTTTTTTGCATTAAATCCACTTTGGTGTCAAATATTGAGTGAATAAAAAAAAAAAACCAGACTGACATAACTTTTGTTTAATTTGAAGTCTAGTGCATTGCATTGTGGGATACAGTATTTGTCAAATGTAGCAGAAAATCCAGGTTCTCCATGTGTACAAAAAATCTGCATACTGTCAAAAACATACAAACTGCAGTATTACAGTAGCATGCTATTTCAAACACAGCCATGGCAATGACTGACATCATTTCCTATTGTGTGCTGTGCCCCATACAGCAACCCCACAGCATCGTTCAGCGCCGTCTCCTGGAGGGCAACATTCCACGTTTGCGTGGAGAGGCCCGGGACGTCCCATCTCATGTTCGCTCACCCCTGACAGACAGCAAAGAGGGTGGCGAGCCGGAGGAGAGGAGCGAGAGCACGGTGGATGACTCCACAGAAGAGAGGGAGTCTCCAGAGGAGAGCGAGAAGAGCCTGAGGTCTGATGAGGATGAGGATGATGAAGATGAAGGGGACCGCAGCGATGCAGGTGGAAAGACAGAGTCCAAGCAGAAAAATGAAATGGAAGAGGAGAGGAAGAAAGTCCTCAAAGAGGATGAGAGAGCATCCACCCTCTCAGCTCTAGTGGTCCAGTGTAAGGTAGGCATTCTGAGCTCTCTTCAGCATTTCTCAGCTGTCTGTGCCCATAATAGAAGCGATAACAGCTTGCCGTAATGACAAAACACGAGCTCTGGCTCCCTATGACTCATGGTTTTATTTTCCTCGCAGTCGATTGCTCTCGCCGCTCAGGTTTGAGAGGGTTTTAGAGAGCCAGTATGCATCTAAAAAGCCCAAATCAGCGAAGCACCTCATGCCAAGTTTACAATCCAGATGATGTAACTGGGGTGCAAGTGACTCATTGTATGGTGATATAACATCAATCTGACCCATCATTTTCAAAGCTTCAGCAACTTTAACATAAGACACAAGAAACATTCAAAAGTCCGGGTTGATTAGATATGTAATGTGTTTGAAAAAAGTCTCTTATGCTCATTGAGGCATTTTTAAAATCAAAAATACAGTAAAATCAGTCATATTGTGAAATTTTTATTACAATTTAAAATAACTGAGTACTATTTAAATATATTGTAAAAGTTAATTAGTTTGATTGTATGATACCAAACTGAACCCTAATGAATAGTATTATACAATTATTATGTGAGAAGAAAGAGACCATAAAGAGATACAAGAGACATTAAACTAGCATAACTACAAAGGAAAGCTACTGCCGGAAACAATGTTACTATACAACAAATATTTAGCCATAATTAAGTAAAAGCTGTGTAATAAGACTCAGATTTAAGTTAAATAAATGAAAAATTGTCATCTGAATTTCAAATGAACTGAATGTTCTGGAATACACATGCAGTCGTGTTATCATAGGTGAGCTGAAAGATGGAAAGAAACCATCAGCATCTAATTAAAGCTTCGATAATGAAGAGCCAGATAAGTGTGGCAGCGGTTTACATAGCAAATCCACTGTAGTGGTTCATGCCTCCTCTTCTGGAAAGATAAGTTTCACTTTGAGGCAGAGAAGTCATGCACGATTTTGCTCCACGCAGAGCTGCCATCATTATAAATGTATCACACATGCACCAGTGCACCCATATACACAGATATGTAATAGCAGCAATCTAATAAAGACATAAGACAACTCATAAAAGAAGTATCTCACCGAGCTCAACTGTTTTTATAGCGTCAGCAGGAGCTTATTTCATATTTATTCTGCAATTTAAATGAACAAAAAAAAAAAAACATTAAAGAAACAAATTCTTTACTCAAAAGAATAGCTCACCCAAAAATGAAAATGTACTTAACCTCAGGCCATCTGAGATGTTAAAGAGTATCATTGAAACAGATATCATTACTGTTACAAATGTATCATTACATCACTTGTTCAACAATGGATCCTCTGCAGTGAATGGGTGCCGTCAGAATGAGAGTCCAAACAGAAGATAATAACACCACAATAATCCATGTAATTCACACGACTCGTCCATCAATTAACATCTTGTGAAGCAAAAAGCTGTGTGTTTATAAGGCACAATTCCATTATTAAGGCATTTAACTTTAAACTGATGCTTCTGTCCAAATGACCAGTCCATAATCCATAAAAATGCTTCCTCTAGTGAAAAAGTTCATCCTCTGTCCGTCCTCTCACATCAAAATCCACTGACATATTTGTTTAGAACGGTTTCCCCTTGTAAACAGTGCTTGATCTGTGCATATTTCTCTCCTGATTCAGACAAGATAGCCTTTTCACTGGAGAAAGCAATATTAGCACATTTATTTTAGCTGGGAGCAAGTGTTCAAATATAAAAATGTCTTAATGATGTATTTGTTTGTTACAAACATGCAGCTTTTCACTTCACCAGATGTTCATTGATGGACTGGAGTTGTGTGGATTATTTTGTTGCCTATATCAGAACTGTCATTCTGATGGCACCCATTCACTGCAGATGATTTATTGGTGAGCAAGTGATGTAATGCTAAATTTCTCTAAATCTGGTCCCATGAAGAAACAAACTCATCTACATCTTGCATTGTCAAGGTGAGGCCAATTTTCATTTTTCTTTCATTTTTATATCCTGACCACAAGGTGTAAAGAAGACACTGAGAAAGTCACACAGTCACAGCTAGAATGAACCTGACAGATATTTGTCTGAGAGTTTGTATCATCTGGCGCTTTGCCACCTCAATGTGTTTATGTGGACGTGTTTCATTCAAGGTGTCTCGCACCGCAACAAAAACACTTGCAACACAGCAGCAAAACCTAGCAGAGGAAGGAACAAGTGTGAAACAATGCAAGGAAACCTGCGTGTCTGTGGAAGTGTGTGTGGAACATACTAGCGGGGCCGGAACAATGTGTGAGAGGGGCTTAACGGTCCCCCATGTTTGCTCACTGAGAGACTGACGCTCTGGTGCATCCCACCCTTTATGTGGTAGGAAGGTTGCGGGGGTGACGGCTCACCTTGAGTGACAGGAAACTCAAAGAGGTTGCAACAAAGCTCTCATCCACTTATTAATCTTGAACGGTAGAACAGTGCTGACGCAGACCTCATTCCTCACTCATTAAATGTGTCGTTAGAAAACAGGCAAAGAGCAAAACCAAAGCTTGACAGCGCTTTTAGCTGTGTGTAGGTGGAGCCATATTGTCTTTAAGTCCTCATGCATGCTGAGAGACCATATGCCACGAACAGGTTCCAAATCCCTCTAAATATCTCAGCTGAGGCTTCTTTCCAGGCTCCCACCACACTAATTAACTATACTAATACTAATATTAATACTTATACTAATTATTATTATTGTTGTAGTTTGTTGTTACTATTATTATTATGCAATGAATAATGTATTATTAATTAAATATTAAACTTATTAATCATTAATATTATTACAAAACTCTCTGAAATACTTAATTCCAGATCCAGATCAAGATGAAATATTTTTGTTAATGGCCATATTTATCAAGGGCACATTTACTTGAAAGGATGTCATTATTATTATAATTATTACATTATTAAATATTAAGTTAAATTGTACATAATTTTATGTGCAATTAAGATTGTAACAGCATTGACACAACTTTAGGTTTTTTTTTTTTTTGAATTATACTTCTACTACAACTTAAATATACAAACTTTTACAAAAATACAAATACTTAAGCAAATATAAACATATAAAAATGTTTTTTTGCTGATCTACTAAGAAAAATTATTATTATTACAAAGCTCTCTGAAATACTTCAGAGAATTAAATATTTTTGTTAATGGCCATATTTACTGTACAAATTTAAGGGCCAATTTACTTAAAAGAATGCCATTATTATTATAATTATTAAACTAAATTGTACATCATTTTTAATAGGGAATTATGATTGTAACAGCATTGACACAACTTTTTTAATTTTTAAAGAAATTCTATTTCCACTACAATACAAAATATACTAACTTTATAAAGGCCATGAGAAAATAACATTTATATATATATATATATATATATATATACATGTATACACACACACGCACATATACGTACATATATCTATAAATTTCATATTGTTTATATATTTTAATATAGACTTAAATTTGCAAACAATATGGTGGACACTAGACATTTTGTGGTGCTGTATGGCAAAATTAAAATTGGTTTTATTGGCTGATTATTGTTTGAAAATATTGAACTTGGTATAGAAAAATGCCTAATAATTTGATAATTATATATTAAACAAAATGTGCATTTTTGCTCATTGGAAGTAAGAAAAGTAATCAAAATAAATAAAAATCAAACAAACAAAAACAAAAATACCATTTAAATTTTTTCCTCAATTTTTGCTGATCTAAGATTAAAAATGTCACAAATAACACATATAATAGCTAGAGTCAGCTACTGTATTCACTGCTGTCACTGTTTACACCAATGTTAATGTGGTATGACCCAAAACATGTGACAGGATCCATCAGAGGACAAGCTGATGGCTAACGAGTTAAAAAACAACCCACTGATTCTGCTAATACCGAACAAATTATTTACACATAAATGTCAAGCAAGCAGCATGAACAGGCACTCAGAGCTTCCAAAGAGCAAATGCTGCAAAAGCACAGGGTCATTATTCATCTGACGAGCTCTGAATTCTGCAAGCACTGATGGAATTTCAGGTGAAAGGACAGACTGAGAATAAAACGACGAGTACCTTTGACAGTGACGGTCCATTATTAACCAGAACTATTATCCTCAGACGGTATTAAACTATCAATCCTGATACTGTCAGACAATGCAAAAACAAAGCCTGCCACTGTCTATTTAAAAGACCAAAAGCTTATATCTGTGCTTCAACATACTGTAGTGTCTCAACTTGGCATCTGTGTAAAACTAGTTGGCAGGCTGTGCTATGTTGTTAGATAATGTGGTCTGCTATTAAAAATTCCTGTCACATAAAAGGTGTGGAAAAGGCATCATAAGGGGAAAAAAAGATTTGATCAGGGAATTCATCTGAGTAAAGACCAAATGTTTATTTTGCAGTGCGGAGATGCAGAAGTGATGTTATCCATAAACACAGGGTGCCAATACAACCACATCTCTAAAACATGCTGCAGACGACTTGGGTAAGTGTATTCTACACACACACACACACACACACACACACACACACAAGATAAACAGTTCCATAAGAATTTTATAGGCCTGTTTTTCGAAATTCTGTAGCCCAAAATGACTGAATTTGCTCAGAAATTGTGTTATTTTTGTTGTTTTGCAGTGAAAATCCACCAGTCATTATCCATTTAAGTTATTTGTTTTAGTGAAACTGATCGTACAGTTACCTGTAAATATTTTTTATCCATAATTACTGAAATCAACTGAACAAACTAAACATTTTTTAATGAACTTGATTTTTATTTAATTAAAAAGTCTCTTATGCCCACCATGGGTGCATTTATTTGATGAAAAATGCAGTAAAAACTGTAATATTATTTAGTATTTTTACGATTTAAAATAAGTTTTATACTGGAATATATACTGTATATTGTAAAATTGAAATTTCAGCAGCCATTACTCCAGTATTCAGTGTCACATGATCCTTCAGAAATCATTCTAATGTGCTCATTTGGTCCTCAAGAAACATTTATTATTATTATTGATATTGCAATGTTACAAAAGATAACATCTGTATTTTCTGCAGATTGAAAACCAACCTAGAAGACAAACCTCATGACAAGCTGCCATATATATATATATATAGTAAAATATACATACAAATATTATAAATATGTGTGGAATATTCACCCCCTCATTGGCTGAGTGGCATAAACTATGATTTTCATATATTTTTTCATATTTTCAACATATTTTGTTATTATTGATGAATAATAATTGGCAATAATAACCAGAATGCTGAAAGAAATGTATCACAAAAATATGAAACAAAAAATGACTATATTTCCTAAGTGCTTGTATTTTCTGCAGATTGAAAACCAACCTAGAAGACAAACCTCATGACAAGCTGCCACTCAGTGATTCGACAGTGGAGACAGTGAAGTCCCTGCACCTGCAGCTGGGCAGAGAAAGAGTGCAATGCACTGCCCAGGTCATAGGTCAGACTTCAAAGTTTCTCCAGTCACTTCTGAAAATGCACTGCCTATTGCTTTTTTAAAAACAGCTCAAAACAACATACACATACAATGATTACACCATGTTTCATAGATTTGATTGAACAGAAAATGGCTGCGAGACATCCAGGACATTCATACTCACAGAACCGGTTTCAACCAGTCATGTCTAAATACAAGTTCAATGCAAACAGAAAAGTCTTATGAGAGTGCAAAAAGGGATATTCATATGCATTTCTTCAGCTTGTATTTGCATTCAACTTTCAGACTGAGCCACTGACCTTTTCCAATTCAGACAGCAGTCTGGGAATGCTCGGACAAAGTGACGTGGGCAACACAGAGGAATTACATAACAGACGAGTGCATGACCTGGGCACAGTGCCACCCATGTTTCCTGCATGCATTGCATACAGATATATTATAAAGCTACTAATGATGGCAGTTTTTTAATCAAGCCTCCTCATCTGCTCTACTAATTAGAGAAAGAATAAAATTATGCCTAAAGGGGATTCATATTCTCTCTTTGTCTCCCACAGTTTGAGTCTCATCTCTTGTCTGTTCACAGAGGACGCCCCATTTGAGGTGTGTCTGGGTCTACAGACTCTGCTGGAACTCAAAGTAAGCCCTGGTTTTATTTAACCACATTTTCAGAGTTTTGTAATGCATGGTTTCTAACCTACTAGACTTTGGCTTTTGAAAGTTTTGCATTTTCAGTTTGAACTTAAAATGCATGGATAAAAGTCTTTTTGAAAACCACTTGCTTCAAATTGTGTTGGTCATCTAGATCAGATGTTTTTAAACTTTTTTAATGCTACTGAATCTCAAATAAGATGGTTCCCTTGAGTGTATTTTCATGTATAAGAACCATTTTATACTGTAAAATGTACATAAAAGTTATTATTGATGAATAATAATTGGCAATAATAAATATTGTTTTTTTTTTAATATTTAATACTTTTTTACTCTTCCTTTGCCCCCAGTCTGAAAACCCCTGATCTAGATCACATTTTCATAAATATAAATTAGACTTAATAAATGCAAATTACATTCTTATATTCATAGTTTAATTGTCTAATTTATAATCATACTTTGCCAGTTTCAAAGATATTTACATTTATTTACATCAATTAGCAAAATGACTTATTTGATCAAAAGGGACCTGAAGCACATTCAAAGTATCAGTTTTATCAGTAAATCAAAGCTGAAGCCATTACAGACATAACATGAAGTCAATCGAATTATGAAACAAGCAGCAAAGAAGTTCTGAGGCTATGTTAGATGGTTTCTGACACTAAGTGGGTTTGTACATGATGGGGGAGTTATTTTTTGAGCAAATATCTAAATATTGAATCAGTTCTGAATGTGGTTTGAGATTATTTCAAATGCCGGGGGGAAAATTCCCCTTTGAGGTTTACATGTGTTATGAGGAGGAAGCTAAATGCTATTAAAAGAAGAGAAAATCCTTTTTAAAGTATGATAGAGTGAGGGGATGAGAGAGAGAAAGCTAGAGAATGAAAGTGCGAGGACAGTATCTGTACAAGTATATGCAAATTACTGTTCTTGTCAGAAGAAAAGATAATGTATGCAAGGAGAAGGATCCACAAAAACTGTCATCAGTTGAACCAAATCATCAGATTCAGAGAAGAGAGACTGAAAAATGTTATAAAATAAATCAAAATTGAATATACAAAGCCACTGTTCTCAGTTCCAGTGTTGCCGTAGTTACGGTGTCTTGAAAGGACCTGGCTCATAAAAATCTTAAAAAGGAAAGTTCATCAAGACAAACTTTGATGTTTACAAGTTTACAATAGTTTTAAAGGCTTAAAAGACTATAGCTGATTTATGCAGATCTGACAGACAGACAGACAAAGAGAGAGAGAGATTTGCAGGGTTGCTAGGCAGTTGCATGGGTGTTCTAACTGGGTGATTGGCAGTTGCTAAGATGTTGGTTGTTAGGGTATTTCTAAGTGGCTGTTAAGGTGTAAGTGGTTGCTAGGGCAGATTCAGACAGATAGACATTTAGACAGAATGACAGACTGAATGATAGACAGTATTATTAAGAGAACGACAGAACAATCGAATGATAGAACCATAGATAGAACGATAGATAGAATGATAGAACAACAGACAGACAGACAGACAGATAGATAGATAGAGCAACAGGCAGGCAGATAGATAGATAGATAGATAGATAGATAGATAGA